GGGGGCGAGATGGCGGGAGAAAGGGCGTTTGTTTGAGAAAGGGCATTAAAAGGGCGAGAAGGTGGGAGAACGGATTGGAAAGGTGTGACAAGGCAGAGGCAGAGCAGCGAGGCTGGGATAGAGAGGGAGAGTGAGAGCACACACACACGCTCACCCAACAGGATGCAGACTCGACACGATGCGACGGACGCAGACACAAAGTGGCAAAGTCGCAAAGTCGTAGTCTTGAATTCCCGAACACAATGTCGAAGCCCAGTCGCACTGAACACAAGCAGTGAGGCTGAAAAACAACTGCCCGTACTGTGCTGGAGTCCGTACTTAGGTATCGGACTCAAGTACGGTCCTGAGGGCGAAAGTGAAAATGCCTCAGGGCCGAAGCTGAAAATCGAAAGTCTGAGAATGGGTGCCAGAATGGCTGATGGCGCCAAGTGTCCGAAATCAGGAAAAGCAGAAACAAAGTAAAACAAAACAAGAGAATTACAAAAAAACAAAAAAAGAACATAAATACAGCAAGCTGGCAGGTGGTAATCTGCAGACCAGGGATCGAGCCCTGGCGGAGTCTGTAACACTATCCCCTCCCTCTAGACGGCAACGCCCCGGCGGCCGAAAGTCATGAAAATAATGCTGAATCTTGTGAAGGACGGGACGGGGCCGATCACTGGGAAGCAGGAAGAGAAAGGGAGAGAGGTATAATGTGGGTAGCAAGGGCTGGGGGAAACAGGGTTTTCCTACTGATGAGCTACGGGGTATGCTTACTGATGGACTACGGGGCTGTGGATTGAGAGGGAACAAAGTTTTCCTACTAATGAACTACAGGGATATGAACTGCGGGGGAACAGGGTTGTCCTATTGATGAACTACAGGGTTACATTGGCCGAAAGGGTTTTGTGAGCAAAAATAAAGAAAGGAGAATTATTTTGCAGTGTTCGGGGGTTGAGGTTTCTGATGATCTCAAAGTGAATGGGGTTGGGAGGGAAATTGCAAGTTCTGCAAAATGGTCTGGATGAGAGTCTTGAAACGGGTCTTGATGTAAGTCCTGGTATGGATAGGGAGAATGCTGATGATAAACCAGCCTTCAGAGCAGGCTGCAACATGTAGTAGCGAGGGTTCCAGGTTGAAAGAAGTAGTGTACCAGTGCAATAGATGAAGGTCCAAGTGGCAGGGTGCGTTCTGTACCGATCCTGAGGATGAAGTCTGATCCAGATAGCAGGTCGCAGACTGATCCTGATGTCAATGTCAAGAGTGCTGCTCCAGAAGTCTGCGAGTCCAGGTGCCAGCCAATGGGACAGCATGTTGGCCAACCAGCTCGAACTGTGCTGCAGCAGGCCATCGTCCTTGTGTGCTTGCCATTAGATCCTTTATCGTCGGCGTTGCACAGGAGCCACAGGTAAGGCTTGGACAAAAGAGACAGAGGATGTGGCAAAGGACAGATTGGGGAACGAGACAGAGGCAAAAGCGGATCAGATAGAGAGAGGTCGAGGGGCAGGGGTTTTGCTGGGTGCAGGGGGTGTGTGTAGAGCAACGAGGCAGGGTTTATGCAGGTTATATGGGTGTATAGCTAGGATACAGGGTGAGCACGATCATAGGCACAAACAAATTTCATGGGCTCGAAGAAAAGAAAAGAAAAGAAAGAGTGAGTGCCATACGTAATCGCCCCTCAGACCAAGATGATGGCGATTACAGTTGCTCACTGATCCATTGTCTACTTACTTTCACAAGCTCTCTCTGGCGAGTGGCCTCTACCATCATGTATGTTACTGTAATGTACAGTAACATGAACTTGGCCAGGACCAGCATTGAAAGGTCGCTGACCTTGATCTCCACTCTTCGGATTCTGCATCACAGAATCAATCCTGCTAACCATTGTAACTGTAAATGATCAGTGTTGATTGATATCATAGTACADAATGTGAATTGACTCTGTTTTTTGTTCGGACTCTTCACGTATAGTCTCTGAGGATCCTACACAGACATATGTTGGTTTCCTGCGGATTATCCATTGTATATTGAAATTCATTCAATAAATAGGTTAGGACTTTCCCGCATATAGTGAAGTAATAAGGTCAGAGATTACTCGTCTGACACGACAATGAGTTTACCACTTTCATCGGCGAACAACCGAACCCTTGGAACCTCGACCTTCCACCATTACTGATGGGGTAAGACTATGCCTTCACCATATTCACTACAGTCGCCTGTAAGAACTTAGGTACGAGCCGTCTGAATGATGTGTGCAAGAAAGACAAAGAGTCAGAGACATCATTCTCATCACAACAGATAGTATAAATTATCACAAAAGGTGACTCCGGGCCCCGATCAAACAACTATTGACGGTACCTCGCTTGAAAAGCTTTTGAAGCTTCGAGACGCGATAGTCAAAGGAGAATTTGAATGGGGAGCAACTCGTATTCCGCCGAAACCTGGGAAGAACGAAAAGCGTCCACTGGGAGTATCATGCTTCCAGGACAGGATCGTACAAGAAGTTCTTAGAATAATCTTAGAACCTATTTATGAACCCCGCTTTTCCACTTATTCACATGGCTTCAGACCGGGACGTAGTGCTCACACGGCCCTTAATGTTATAATGGGTACCTTTCATGGTGCGCAATGGTATATTGAAGGATCCCTGGAGGCCGAAGGCCCTGGAGCCGTAAATCATGGAACTGTGTATAAGATCATCCGGCGAACAATCCGAGATAAACGGATTCTCAAACTAATCCGCTCTGGACTACAAGCTTTTTTTCATATGCCACACGGAGAGATTGAAGAGGCGTTCTTGAGATTATCAAGGGGTTCCCATGTAGATTCTTCATCTGGGTATCCGGTCCATTTGACTTTGTATTCAGTGATTGGTTTCGGGCGATCGGAAACTTGAGTTGTTCTTCGTCCTATGATAGATTCTACCATGAATTCGGGCCCGGTAGGTAGCATGATTGGTGGGGGTCTAGGATACAGGCGGTTGGCAAATTGTGGAGGTGATTCATGGTATTCTTTCGAGTACTCGACATGGAAGACAGTGTGAACATGGCTCATGTCAGAGGGCAATTGAAGTTTGTAATTTAGAGGGGATGTTTGTTCAATGACAAGGAATGGACCGAGCCACTTGTTTGACAGTTTCTTGGACAAGCCATGTTCGGGTTCAGAGCGTTTGGCAGAGAGGCATACTTTGTCCCCTACTTGGAATGTGATATCTCGTCTGTGTTTGTTGGTCTTCTTGGCTTGTTGTTGTTGGGTTCTTTCAATGGCGTCAGTGGCTTCTAAGGAGGCGGTTCATTGTTGCAACCCATTCACTGAGAGAAGGACAGGGAGTGGATGGGTTAAGCTGCGAGGGGAGCAAGAAGTATGAGGGCAAGCGGGGATGGTAGCCAAGGTCAAGGTAGTATGGGGACATGCCAGGGGCAGACAACATTGTTGTAGGCAATCTCGGCGGCGGTCAGCAATTGATCCTTGTCGTGCTGGTGTGGATGACAATATTTCCGCAAGATCCTTTGGAGAGTATTGCTAATCTTTTCGGCCTGCCATCGGTCCGAGGATGGAATGCAATGGTGTACTTGAGTATGGTGCCGTAGGCTTTGAACATGTTTTTCCAGAATTGGGAAAGGAAGCAGGGATCACGGTCACTGATGACGTTTTCGGGGAGACCGCGGTGGCGCGTGACATGATCGAAGAAGAGTGTGGCGACATCTTTGGCATTGTGAGAAGTGGTGCAAGGGATGCAATGGGCCTACTTGGTCAAGTGGCCGATAATGACATCGATGCAGTCATAGTCGCAGTCGGTCTGGGGGGACCGCACACAAAGTTCATAGAGACAGACTGCCACCTGTGGGTGGGAATAGGCAATGACTAGAGCTTGCCAGGCTTGGATTGGTTTGAGGGGTTGACTGCTTGACAAGTGGGGCATGATCGGATGTATGCTTTAACCTCGGTGAGGAGTGAGGGCCAGTAGAAGTAGCGATAGACGGTGTCGAATGTCTTCCGGAAACCAAGGTGTCTTGCGGTCTTCGTGTCGTGGTGTTCGGCCAAGAGTTGGGTACGAAGACCACGTGTGTCAGGGATCTGGAGTCAGCGAGTGCCTTTAGTGTTAATGTACAAGAGGTTGTCGTGGAGGGAGTAGTCGGGGACGGTGTCATGGTCACGAAGCCTGTTGTGGATGGTAGAGAAATCGGGGCATGAAGAGTACCCGTAAATATAGTGGTGGTGGAGTGAAGGTAGGAGCTGAACATTAGCCATGGCGGCGTAGACTTTCTGAGGGGGCTTGAGGTCAGGTCGTCAAGAGAGGGCATTGGCGACGCGGTTGCTTTTGCCGAAGATGTGGCAGATGGTGAATCTAAATTGGGCGAGAAAGTCTAACCATTGGGCTTGGCGGGTTGTGATATCTTTCTTGGTGAGTATGCTTGAGACGATGGTGTTGTCGGTGCATATAGTGAAGTACTGACTGTCGAGGTATGGGCACCAGACTTTGAGAGCATGGATGACGACGAGGAGTTCCTTCTCATTGGAGGGGTAGTTCATCTCCGCGGGGATGGGTTTCTTGCTTGCAAATGCGATAGGGTACTCGCTGAGTGGAGCCTCAGAGTGGGTGGGGAAATCCTTGATGGAGGGGGGGTCTGGGTTGTCACGGGGGAAGTGTTGGGAGAGGACGGCTCCAATAACAAAGTCTGAGGCGTCGGTGGTAACATAAAAGTATCAACAAGGGTCAACAATCTTGAGGATAGGGGATGCGGTGATGACTTGTTTGAGGAGGTCAAAGGCGTCTTGACGGCGTTTGTTCCATGCAAAAGGCTCGTTCTTGCGGGTGACCTCGTGGAGGGGTTACGAGATTTCTGAGAAGTCGCGGTTAAAGGGGCGGTAGTAGTTGGCAAGACCGAGGAAGAAACGAAGCTGCAACAAGGTCCTAGGTGGGGGAAACTCGACAAGGGCGGTGACCTTTGAGGGGTCCATGCGGATGCCATCAGCGGATACAATGTGGCCGAGGTATTCTACGCTTGAGGCAGCAAAAGTGCATTTGCTGAGCTTGGCGTATAACTTTTGAGCTCTGAGGATAGAGAGGACTTGAAGAATGTGCTGAAGGTGAGACTCGAAGGTGGACTAGGATATCGTCAAGGTGGACGAGGACACAGACTTCGAGAAGGTCACAAAATATGTGGTTAGGTTCCGGGGGCATTTGTGAGGCCGGAAGGTATCACAAGGTACTCGTAACGCCAAGTGAGAGCGGAAGGCAGCCTATGAGTATCCTCTTCGCGAATGCGGATCTGGTGGAAGCCACTTTGGAGGTCGATCTTTGTGGAGTACTTGGCTCCATGGAGGTGATCAAGAAGCTCGGAGATGCGAGGCAGGGGTACTTGTTCTTGATCGTGATCCGGTTGAGGGCGCGGTAGTCTGTGCACATATAACGCTGGTCTGCCTGGGAGGCTGCTCTCACCAATGCCGAATGGTGCCAGTATCTGGCGCCCAAAAGTCTGACGCCTAAGTTGGCTCTCAAATTCGAATCTTTCGAATTTGAAAAAGGCCTGAAATGGCCTTGGCGCCTACTGGGCCTCTACTGGGGTCTGGTGCCAAAACGGGCGCCAGGGCCTACCTACTGGGCCTACCGACCTACGGGGTCTACCTGCGCCGAAACGACACAGGGCCTTAAGGGCCCCTACCTATACTGAAATGACACAGGGCCTGTAGGGCCCCCTACCTAACTCCTAGCCTACCTTGTCGGGCCCTGCAGGGGCCCGTGTGGAACTCAGAATGCCACTCTCTCTCTCTCTCTCTCTCTCTCTCACACACACACACACACACACACACACACACACACAAACACACACACAAAAACTAAAAATAAAAATAAAAATCAGAATCAGTCTCAGCAAGGCCCTCTTTGGCTTTCACACACACACACACACACAAAATCAGAATCAGTCTCAGCAAAGCCGTCTTTGGCTTTCTGAAAGGGCCAGAAAATAGTTAAAAAATCTCAAAACATTTTTGAGGGGGGGCGCTCTTCTGGACCTACTGGACTGGACATTCGCATGCGGATGGTCTGGACTGGGATCTGGACGTCCTTATTGTAACTATGATTTTTTATTATTTTTTAATTTTTTATTATTTTTTTATTTTTTATTATTTTTTTTTTGAAAAAACATCCAATGTGGTACTAGGGGTGCTGATAAGAGCAGACACCGCTAGTACTCCCAGGGAGGCTCCATCTATTGGTGGGGAGCAGCACCTGCTGGAAATCGGGTCCAGCGTCCCTGAACATTAGGTTAGGAAGGTCATCAGCAGCATTGATTGCCCTCCGACGAGGGGATTGACTGCAATTTCTGTGTACTCAGTCCAGCATCCCTTCGCATCCTAGTATTTCACATGTCAATGCAACCCCCACTGCCAATCCTATCCTTCTTCCAAGTACGATATGGACATCTTATCCTTAAGAGCAAAAACAACTTTGCTAGATCTGCCTCTTCAGCCCGTCGTTGGGCTGCCTGATGCTATCTATAGGCCCTAGCAGTCTAGCTGCTCTTGTGTAACTGCTCCTCACTCTCCCTCATACCATGTCTTGCTCACAAGGCTATTTGCGGGGGGGGGGGAAATAAAAAACTTTGGACTCGGATCCGGATGTCTGGATCGTAACCATGGGAAAAAATTCCAGAAAGGCATTTTCCAGAAGGTTTTCGTTAATAAGGTTTTGTATTGGTTGTGCAGGAACAAACCAGGCGCTCAAGAAGGCGGTCAACTGGCGCACACTTTGCTGCACCAGGATCAAATTTGTTTGGACCAGTTGGAACACATTTTATACCAGGTCTTGTTGCTGGGATCCTCCTCAAACTTGGTTGGGATGTTCTTAACTCAAGCCATTCCAATGCCATGGGAATGGTGCCTCGGAATAGAGGCTCAAGGGGCCCAGTGGGAGAGGCAGGTGGTGGGACGAGGAACGCAACAGCAACGTCCGTGCCGGATGGTACGGAAATGAAAATGGTAAGGGGAAGAAAAGGGGTGATCCCATTTGTTTGTTTCTTTTTTCCTGTAGATGGTAGCCCTACCTTCTTCCCCTGAAGAGAATGTATGGTCATTATCCCTGTATCAAGTCAGAAAGTTACCCCGAATACCAGCTATAATGACTGTATGTTCTATTTGGGAGACGTTACAATCTGGGCTACTTCCAGAGTGCAAATTCACAAGGAAAGACAATGCCACCCAATTGCAGAAGAATGAAAGCACTTGCAAAGTGAGAATGACCAAAGAAGAACAAGGACAAAGAAAGAAAGAAGAAGAAGGAGAAGAAGAAGATGTACACCAGCAAGGCCAATGACAAATCCCCCTTCTCTCTCCACTTTCCTCCTCCTCCTTGTGTCTGCCAATCTTATTCTTCTCCCAAATAATAATAATAACAATGAGTGGTTGAACCAGAATCAATATCCAAAGTTCCCTCTTACTGCCAGCTTAGCAAGAGGTTGACCATAGCCATGGCCTTCTTCTTCTTCCTCACACAGGTGTAGGCTATGGCGGACTACTAAGGGCTCTGCCCTCCTGTTACATGCTGCGACTGCAACATGCTGCACCTGAAACGAGGGCCATTTTCAGGCCCGGTGTTGTTTTCAGCCTAAAAGTCTGAAAACAAGGGCCTACAGGCCCTGTGTCGTTTTCAGCCTAAAAGCCTGAAAACAAGGGCCTACAGGCCCTGTGTCGTTTCAGCCTGAAAGCCTGAAAGCCTGAATACAAGGGCCTACAGGCTCTGTGTCGTTTCAGCCTAAAACAGGGCCCTCCAGGCCCTGAGTCTTTTCAGCCTGAAACGGAGGGCCATTTTCAGGCCCTCATAAGATCGACCTGCCCTGAAACTTAGGCACCAGACCAGGGTTTTAGCACAGGCCATTTTGGGCCTGTTTTTAAGACAAGCTTTGTTTGAGCTTCAACGCCTGGGTCTGGCACGTTTTGGCATTGGCAAGAGCAGCCTCCTGGATGGGCCAGCACTATATAAGACTGGCCCGCCCTGCAGACTGCAGGTAGTTCATGGGGACTTCCCAGGCACTTCACGTGCAGTTCAGGAGGCAGGAGGTAGTCTTCAGGATTCGGCAGCAGCACTCTGGAGGAGCGCTGCAGTAGTAGTAGTAGCGTTAGCAGTAGTCTTCAGCGCTGGGCGCTAGTAGGAGGTAGAGTAGTACTGTAGGGAGAGAGAGATTTGGCGGAGGGCAGGGAGACTTTACCTGCAGCGCCATAGCTCCAGCTTCGTCTTCGAGGTACCTGCAGCACAGCGCCATCTTCAGAGGTTAGTACCTGGCACATGGCAAACACACACACACACACACACACACACACACACACACACACAGAGAGAGAGAGAGAGAGAGAGA